TATATATATATATAGCTTAAGATTTTGGTTTACGAAACACAAACAGTGCTCAATACCATATAGATGGAGCGTAATATAGTTTTTCGTTTTACCTCAAAAAAACCACAACAGTCTGTTTCATCCGTATAGGAATCATCAGGTGGTGATTGAATCATCACCTGATGATTCCTATACGGATGAAACAGACTGTTGTGGTTTTTTTGAGGTAAAACGAAAAACTATATTACGCTCCATCTATATGGTATTGAGCACTAGCCTACTAGACTTAGTGATGAACACACAAACCGGCACAATCAATATCGCGTTACAAAATAGTATGATGAGCCTTTAAGTACAAAGGACACATATAAACGCGGTAGGAACCAGGTCTCTAGTTAACATCGCATTGCTGTCTGAAACCCTATAGTTTAGTAGTGGTAAAACAACCGAACCGGCAATCGGGAGACACGGGTTCGATTCCCGTTGGGAGTTCAGATCATCTGAATACAAGCTTGAGCAACAATCTTTACTTCTCATATATCCAAGCTTACAACATGTACTAGACTTAGTATATGAACACACAAACACAAACAATATATATATATATATATATATATATCAAGAGCCAGCCCCAAAAAATCTTCATTTATAAATATCAAGAAATCAAAAACTTCAAAGTAATTAAATTATATTTTTTACGTTTCGGGGACAAGCCCCTTCTTCAGAATAACGCTACATCATCTCCGTCTCTTGCTTAAATAGTCTAACGTTTAGTTATACATAAATTAATTAAACCTCTTCCCTTAAATTAAGCCCACGTGGGACATAACTATTAAGTTTCTCAATCCAAAAGCTCTCCCTCTCAGTGGGGTTATTAACGTCCGTGACGTCAATAACCTGCACTAAAAAATCACTTAGACCTGAATGTCCCTCCCCCCAAAAATGGGCATACAATTGTTGCCCACAAATATTTCTCTGCCCCCGCCCATATCTATTTAATGCCCTCTTGTGGTTATTAAATCGCAATCTGAACGGTGTTATGGTATTCCCCACATATTGCAACCCACAGAATTTACAACTAATCAAATACACTATACCCCCCGAGTCACAATCGAAGCGATGATTAATGCAGAAAGACCGCCCCTCAACACTCCACTGAGAGGGAGAGCTTTTGGATTGAGAAACTTAATAGTTATGTCCCACGTGGGCTTAATTTAAGAGAAGAGGTTTAATTAATTTATGTATAGCTAAACGTTAGACTATTTAAGCAAGAGACGGAGATGATATAGCGTTATTCTGAAGAAGGGGCATGTCCCCGAAACGTAAAAAATATAATTTAATTACTTTGAAGCTTTTGATTTCTTGATATTTATATATATATATATATATATATATATATATATATATATATATATATATATATATATATATATATATATATATATATATATATAGTTTTTCGTTTTACCTCAAAAAACCACAACAGTCTGTTTCATCCGTATAGGAACAGCCAATTAGACGGAACAGCCAATTAGACGGTCTCAACGTATACAGGAACGTAGCAACACCGCAAAACTTTAATTAAGTAATGTACATAATTATGTAATTTTAATCTCAGTATTCTGAAGAAGGTTCGAAGTACCGAGTCGAAAGCTCAATAAAAGTATATTTCAATATATATATATATAGTACAATCTGCAGACATGCATGTTTCGGCGTTCTACGCCTCGTCAGTGCAGCTTGGTACACGTCATGTTAATATACATTGTCATTGACATTGTTAGAACTTTCTCAACTAGTAAGTAGTGGTCTTTGGCCTGGGAAAAACGAGAAATCGACTGACTGAGTTGAATGACATTAATTGTGTCAAGTACTACATGTATATTTTCGTCTCATGAAGCCCTACATTGTATTGTTTTCAAGCACAAGTTGTACAATAATCACTCAACTTTTAGCTAATACTTTATTCTTTAAAATACGACACTTATATCAACTCTTTATTTCAATTGTTTCCTTTTCAAACTTCAAAATGATAAAATCTTCAACTGCAATTCCTTGTCTCGTTAATGTATTTTTTGTTGTCTTCGCCATGTCTTTTGCTCTGCATTGCAACACTAGAGCCGTCTAGAGGGGGCTGCAGTGGATGAAGTGGGTATCATTGGTATTCATCGATCCCTATCTGTATTTACATATTCATCCCCATCTGTATTTACAATTCATAGCAGTAAAACGTCGACGTTTCGAGCGGAGGCCCTTTATGTCGTGAAGTTAGTTCGCGATATTAAACCAGCTAACAGTTCCCGCTGGAAACGTCGACGTTTTACTTCTTATTTTTCAGGTAGTTGCATCTCTTTCAATCCGCATGATTTTATATACCTATTTATAATAGTTATTTAAATTATGCTATTTATAATTTCAGCAGAAATTTTGTCATGGCAGAATCACATTCTGATGCTGATGCAACATGCACCGAAGGTGGTAATATATCAATAGCCATCATCGGTAGCAAAGTGGATGTAAAGACACTAGACAACCAATACATAAATGCAACCACACTCGATGCTGTTTATACTCGCTGTCCATTAGTAAAACCACTGATACAAAAAGCTGTTATTAAAGGAATTGGTGGTGAAAGAGATGAGCAGGAAGTTCGCGATATTAAACCAGAATCTCCACATATTCTGCTGCATTGTTGGACCAATGAGAGATTTTTGGACGTTTTACAAGATCATGAATCTGGGAAACTGAAGAAATGCTTACGGAAAGAGTTGTCGAATGTTGGAGTTAAAGTAGGAGAATTAGTGGTTGAGATTAAAAACATGGAAGAAGTGAACAAAACAAAGGAAGCTATAAACACGAGGTATAAGATATACGCTAACTATACTACTCTAAAAACACCCAATATTGTGATAGTCACTCGTATAAATAACAAACTTTATTTATCTTTTTAATATACAGTAAGAGTATAACACAACGTTTTTTTAAAAAAAACGTACGTCCATCAAAAAAAATATGGCGACTCATGGGAATCCTGCTGGTCAACATTTCGCAAGCGCTCACACTTTCCTCCTAAACTTAAACATACATAACAAAAAATTTCGATGCTCCTAATATTAATAAATGTTCAGTCCGACAGTTCATCGTTTATTTCCATTGCTTCGCGCTGTTCGTATTGTTGTTGATGCCAATCAACCTGAAGTCGTTTAGTTGGTTGTCGTCATAATTGTCTGCCTGGTCATCTGACTCTTCAGTTTCCCATGACAGGACTTGTTGTGGGACTGGCTCCAGCTCGTTAAAATGCCTTTGTTTCACACGTCCGGTAGGGTTAGTTTCCTCTTGCAGCTTGTAAGTGTTGCCGTGGCGCTCTAATACTATGAATAGTTTACTCTTTAAATCTGCCAGCTTCTTACCGCCTAGTTTGTTCCGTTCTGTAGCTGTGAGACGAGTTCGAACTCCTTCCCCAATCTCGAATGGCCGTTTCATTGCTGTTTTTGTTCTCTTCTTCCGTTTGTCCTGTTCCACAGAAATATTGCGCTTCACCAGTTGAAAAACATCATCCAACTTCTTGGCATCAGATCGAGCCTGAGGCTGCGACTCCACCCCGTTTCAGGTCTTCGGGTCTCCATTCTTCATCTGAGCCGGCAGAATCTTCAAGTAAGAAGAATGCTTCCGGTCGTCTCGCTTGTTGTTTGAAAACCAGTTCGTGCGGTGATGTCCCGGTGGTCCTGTTTGCTGAAGTGTTATGGGCAAACGTCACCGCGTGCATCGCCCTTGGCCAACTTGCGGGGTTCCTATTACATACCGCTCTAATGTTAGCAAAGAGCTGGTTTTGTCGCTCAACTTGTGCTTGTGACTGCGGTCGTCTGCGGATGCTCGGGACTTCCTAGCGCATGTTCAATGCCAAGTTCCTTGCACGTAGCTTCAAAGACGGTCGCAGTAAAGTGGGGTCCTTAGTCGCTACTAATCACTTCGGGTATGTCGAACTGAGTTGTCCATTCATCTATTAACGCACGAACTGCTGTCTCTGCCGAATTATCTGACGCTGCGACCAACTTAACATAACGTGTTAATATATCTTGTATGGCAAGGACACGCTTGAACGGGACCAACGAAATCGATTTGAATGCGTTGGAACGGTTGTTTTGGAATGTCAGTTTTCTCCAGTGGTGCTTTGCCTTTTGAACCGTGTTTCACGCGTTGGCAGATATCACAACCGGAAACATACTTTGCTACATCTGACTTCACCCCTGGCCACCATACCACCCGAACACGGTCCCATGTGCGATCACGTCCCATGTGTCTAGAGGTTAGTCGTGAACTAACTGAAGAAACCTCCGACGTAGACTTTGAGGAAGTACAACAAGGAGATTCTGGGTTTTCTCGAGTGGACTATTTTCCGTTGGTCGACCCTTGTAGTTACGATAACGTAGAATACCATCTTCCAATACTGTCAATCGATCGCGCGCCTGCCCCATTCACAGCCCCAAGGCCTTTGCCTCAAGGTTTATTAGGTCCTTCAATTCCCGTTGTTGTTCACAGGCTCTTAGGTATTCCCCTACCGCTGGACAACACATTTTGGCGTCATGGACATCTTTCCTCGCAAGCATGGGCAACACATTTGGGCGTCATGGACATCTTTCCCTACATGGACATCTTTCCCCGCTGGACGACACATTTGGGCGTCATGGACATCTTTCCTCGCAAGCATGGGAAAGATTCGGTAAGCACTGTCCGATTCAGCGGCTGATCTACTGCCGAGGTTGCCATTCACAGAGTTGCCACCTGCTCTCCATGTCCTACTCTGGACAAGTAATCTGCCATTGCCAGTTCTGGTGACTTTCCTGCCCGATGTATTGGATCGAATGGATATTGTTGAAGGAATTCCAACCACCTCCCTCGCCTACCGCAAACATCGTTTAAGTCCAGGCTTTCGTTAATCCATGTCAGAGCCCGATGATCGGTGATTAGGTCAAAACGCTTTCCCGCAAGGTAAACACGAAATTTCTTTACTGCTAAAAATATCGCCAGCAACTCTCTATCTGTGGTGCTATAGTTCCTTTCACTAGAGGAAAGAGTATGTGAAAGAATGCCACTGGATTTAATGGGCCATCTGGTTTAAACCGATCCGGCTGAGCTAACATTGCTGCCGTACCCACTATCGAAGCATCTGTTACCAACTGGTGAAATCCGGAAGGTAAAGTGCTGGAGGTCTCGCAACGTGTTTCTTAAGGAGTTCAAATGCTGCTGTTGTCTCAGGTGTCCATTTAAGTAATTTCTTACCATCTTTGTCTAAAAGATCATATAACGGTTTTGCAATGTCCGCCATCCCTGGAATCCATCGTTGAACGTAGGAGAATACTCCAAGCGCCTTCCTCAGCATTGTTACCGTTTTTGGTTTTGGGGTATTGATTAGTGCATCTCTCCGGGCATCGCTGATAGACAACATTCCTTCACCGATAACGTGACCAAGGAATTCAATACGACGAACACCAAACGTACACTTCTCTGGATTCAGGAGCATTCCCACCTCTTGTAATCTCTGGAGTACTAACCGGAGACGCTGCATGTGCTCTGTCCATGTTGCTCCCCAAACAAGTATATCATCTAGGTAGCAGAGTGCTACCTGCCAGTTCAGAGACCCAAGGGCGCCACTCATCAGCCGCTGAAAAGAGGCTGGTGCTCCTGATAACTCAAACGGAGTGCCTCGACCAGTCCACTGGAACTGACCATCTGGGGTGACAAATCCTGTGAGATTCGAATCTTCTTCTCGAAGTGGCATTTGATAGTAACCACTCTTTAGTCTAAAGATGAGAAGTATTTAGCTTCCCCAAGCCTGTCAATTAGGTCATCAACACGCGGTATTGGATGATGCTGATCAAAGGACTGAGCATTCAGAGCCCGATAGTCAATTGCTAGCCTGATTTGGCCATTCTTTCTACTTGCCACTACAATTGGTGCAGCCCAAGGGCCCGTTGACTGTGTGATCAGGCCTTGACCAAGGAGATGCGTTATCTCCTTGTTCACTTCTTCTCGTTCCTTTGGGGATAGCCGTCTCGGTCTCATACCAACTGGTCTCGCATTTGGTTTGAGTCTAATACAATGCTTCCCCAAACCCTGGACAGATGGAAGACGGTCGCCGGGTTTCCAAAACACGTCAGAAAATTCTGTCAGAAGTTTGTCAACCTCTTCCTGTTCAACCTCAACCTCTTCCTTTGTCAACCTCTTCCTTAGAATCAAGTCTTTCATCTCCCTTATACCCAGTAACTCGGTCAGTTGGTTTAGTTTTCATGTGTTGACCTGGAAAAGTGGTTTCAAACTCTGGGTCTAATAGGGCAATTTTTTCCCCCTTTCGAAGGGTTTCACTAACTTTGTTAACATTGACGACTCTGAGCCATAGTTCTCTAATCGTATCTACCCTAACAATACAACATGCAGGGCGAATAGGTTCATCCCCTGGGGAGGTGTTTGGTGCTGCCATGTAGTTCAGACCTCTAAATGCTTTGTCTGCCACACATTTAACTAAACATTCTTTACCAGGCTCCACAATAACATCTTCCTTGACTAGTACATCACAAGTTGCGCCCCGATTTATTCCACTTTCTGGACGGTACATGGTTTCAAGTTTCGTACTCTGCCTCGTCTCATGTAAGTATAATTGTCCCCTTCTGGGGTCCCAGGTCGCTCTCCCCAGGCGAAATATAACGTCAATCCCTGCTAGATATTTTGTAACAGTTCTTGACCACAAAGAACTTATAGTTTCTTACTACTTGACCACCCACTCTCTCTGTTTTTGTAAGGGTACCCACAATGTTAATGACTTCACCGCTCACCCCCTGGGGCGGTTTTGTGTCTGGTTCTTTCATTGTCTTACGCTCATCACTTGTTAAGACACTTTCGTCCACTAAACTGACTTCAGCCCCAGTGTCCAGTAACAAACTGACCTCCTTGCTGCCAATACCCCAACGGGCACGTACAAAAGGGCTGCGTTTTAACACCCTCCGTAAATGTTTAATCGTTTCATTTCTCCGTTCATAAGGCCCATCCATTTCAGAGTCCCCTCTACTTAATTTTGTCTGTCTCCCCCGTTGCATCGCTTTCAACTCCTCTACAGTACCCAGCCCATCATCGGTCCGCTGACAGGGTTTTTCTTTGACTCTTTAGTTGGTACTGGTGGTATGGGACTTGACTCGCAA